GTGATGACTTAAACTGTTTTTTAGCTGCTGATGTGGCACGGATCTGTCCTATTTTGGCTGAATTGGGATTTTAGAGGGTTAATTACCGCCTTTAAACACTGTCATGTCAGAAAATCCATGCCATATCAGTAACTAAAAAACAGTTTAAGTCATCACGTGCCACGCACGTGACGATCTCTCGCCGAAAAACTGGTCGCCGACGAGAAAAAGGGCCTTGTTGGTAAGTTGAATCAATTAAAATGCCTTAAAACATATTTGCCTAATTAAAATACCTTTTTGGTAAATGGGGTGGAATTAAATACCAATATGGGTATTTAGCCATTCTTTATATATTCATGTTATTATACTTCCTGACTTTCACTCTGCTTTCAAGAATTTTTATAATTATTTTGAAATATATTACTTTTAGTTTTAAAGCTACATACAACAAGGAGCCTACTGTTAACACAATGATTGCTTCTGCTTATCATTTCAATCCTAACATTCCTGAAATGGAAGAATACAAAGATACGTATGTATTTTATTCTCACACAATTCTTTTATCTATCGCAATACAATACTTATTTAATATTAAAAGTATCTTTTTAACATCCTCCCTACTTGATATTATTAGTTTCGCGGAAAACACCGAAATTATCCTAATTGAAAGTATTGTTCATCAAGCGCCACTGACATTAGTGGAACTCATGACACAAAATAAGTGTACTATTATTGATTTCCAGCAAATTAATCCATTTCAGATACCAATATTAATAAAATGCTCAAAACTAAAATATTTTTCTTCTAATAAAGAATAATATACTTATCAACAAGAATTTGTTTTATGCAGAAACATTATTATTCCTGCAAAACTTGTGTTGTTGACATTGACTTAAAATATGGGTGGTGGTATAATGCTTGCTATCGTTGTAACAGTCAATCTGAAGCTCAAGGGGGTCTATAGTGGGTGTAATGAACATGCAAAACTTGATCGGATGTTAGTGCCTTAGTAAACTTTCTTCTCTCTCTCTCATCTTTAACTATATTCTTCTACAATTCATCATTTCTGAATCATTTTATAATTGCATCTTTAGGTTTTTATCTTACCAGGTCATACGGGACCTATGCATGTGATTGTATTTGGCCAATTTGCAAAAGATAATATAGGAAAATCCTGTAAGCAATTGGTCCTTGGAGAAGGAATTAAGTTTTTGAGTGCTGCTACGGGGACCCAAAATATGGGATCAAGGGAGGGGATAGGTGAGGTGTCCTCTCCCTATTGCATAATGAGTTGGCATGAGTTTTCATGACCAACTCATTATGCAATAGGGAGGGGACACCTCACCTGTCCCCTCCATTGGTCCTATATTTTGGGTTCTTAAATTATTTTCTTAAAATTTTGAGTGTTACTACGGGGACCCAAAATATGGGACCAAGGGAGGGGACATGTGAGGTGTCCCCTCCCTATTGCATAATGAATTGGCATGAGTTGATCATGCCAACTCATTATGCAATAGGGAGGGGACACCTTACCTGTCCCCTCCCTTGGTCCTATATTTTTTGTCCTTAAATCATTTTCCTAAGTGAGTGCTGCTACGGGGACCCAAAATATGGGACCAAGCGAGGGAACATGTGAGGTGTCCCCTCTTTATTGCATAATGAGTTGGCATGAGTTTGTATGGCCAACTCATTATGCAATAGGGAGGGGACATCTCACTTGTCCCCTCCCTTGGTCCCATATTTTGGGTCCTTAAATCATTTTCTTAAGTTTTTGAGTGTTGCTACGGGGACCCAAAATATGGGATCAAGGGAGGGGACAGGTGAGGTATCCCCTCCCTATTGCATAATGAGTTGGTATGAGTTGGCACCAACTCATTATGTAATAGGGAGGGGACACCTAGAAAAGTCTTTAGGTGAACCTAGGAAACCCGCCGATCTTCTCATCACACGATTACTTGATGTGGAGTAAATACCTGCACCTCTTCCAACACTCAGTTCCCTAAGTATCTCAGCTCCTACCCCAACAATTGAGTTGATGCGAATGCAATCAACACCTCCCACAGCGTGTTTGTTGCCAATTTGCAAAGGCACACTCAAAGGACAATCATCGGGATCAAATGACCAAAAGCTTAGAAAAAGATAGTTATTCCAAAACAAACAATTCTTTGATGAAGAGCGCACAATGTGATTAACTAAACAAATTCGTATTTAGTTTGTCATGGCAAACTTTTAACAAAAAACTAACAGATTTCTTCATCTCCTATTTCCTATTTTCAGGTCTTTTGATGTTACTGTCAAACATGATAATTAATGTCGATCAAAACTATGATGTTGCATCAGCTCAACAATAAGTACCTCCTGGACGACAATGAGAAGAAAATATGGATGTTACACAGCAGAAAGGAACTGCATCTTTTGCTCACCACACTCGTCACTTCCTCCACCAACAACAACAGAAGATAGCAGTTGGTAAAATATTTTTATAGTTCCATAATATTCCCAGTGTTCTTACATATTCCACATTCAAAAGAAATTTCTA